AGTTCCCCAAACATTTTCTCATCCAGACTTGTTCTGTCCTCTGCTTTTGTTTTTTTCTCACTGCAAAGCATTAACGTTGAGTTGTTCTGCTACGTCAGTCTCCATTTTTGTTTGCTTCCCAAAGAGATCTCGCGAGGTGTTGCATCGCTCCTTCTGGTTAGATAATCATAATAATATCTTGTAGTGTATGATGCATGAGAGGAAAAGTGTATTTCCCAATAATGTAATTGTCTTTTTAAGATATTTGTTAATGATGATGAATTAATAAAGTGGTAAACATTTCAATATTTAAATTGTAGCAAACTTTCAATATATTTTTGCTGAGCACAAGCTTACAGAGCCTTGCTGTGGACGATATAAACAGACAGTGAAGCAGATAAAGCAGGTATCTGTGCTTTGTCAGTATCAAATAAAGCATAAGACCTGCTGAGATGGCAATGAGAAATCTTTGGACCCGAATTGGCACTCATATGGTTAGCCTTATTAGCACTGAGGGACGGCTCATTGGTGTGCGCCCTGGCAGAGCCACGGCCAGTGATCTGTTTGCCTTGAGTCACCGTCCTGTAACCAATCCTTTATTTCCTGTTTTTCAAATATGGATCTTTCTATGGATTCCTTCCATTTAGCATAGGTGGTGCTTCTGCCACATGGAACATACTTCGTGAATCACATTATCATTAGACCCGTGTGTCTAATATCCGTCTGTCTAATATTTTGTCGCCTGCTTGTAAAGGTGGGAGACAGCAGACACAAATAATTCTGTTTTCAGTTGATTTTATTCATGCTGAGCGGCAGTGTCACCTGGCTGCACACACATTGCTGCTGCAGTACCTGCAGAGAGCTGGCTTTTCATCCACTAATGACACAACACAAAGTAATATGAGTCATGTGTCTTGTGCTTTTTGCTCTCAAGTTGAGCTCATTATATCTCCTATCAGTATTTCTTAATATAGCCAGGGTTTTATATGTAGTTTCTACTACGAATTAGACGAAAAAAGGTGTCTCCTTATTCAGCGCAACTCTAACCACAACGTAACCCTAATTCTTTTTCCTCTTCTGGTTTTTTTCTAGGGCTGATGGTTGGCCGACAGCTGATGTCGTGCTGTCGGTGAGCGTCCTAGTTGACTGATCATGCTGAATCGGCGGCAGTAGCCACCGGTGAGAGAAATCACTCTGATTGGCTGTTCAGCTGAAAGGAATCAGTGCACAGGAAGAGAAGTGGAAGAGAGCAAAGTTGCAAACTTTGGTATTGTCTCATTTTTTAGCTTCTTTTCATCCAATCATTCAAATACATGGATATTTTAACATGCAGCTATTTTACAAAACCGTCTGAGCGAGAGCGGACAAACTAGTTGGCCATTTGCTGTAGTCGGCGCTGTGTGTTCTAGTGTCACTTTTTGGCCAAGACACAGGCAACCAAGCAACAGTTGGCTTTTGGCGCCGCTAGTTCTTTGACGACAGTTTGGTGTGTTAGGTCATGTATCAAGACATTTTCAACGCTGTTTTCTCTGTGAAAAGTCAGGTGTGTCTTTATGCAGGGATGCAGTGCACAGGCGTTAATTTTTACCCACACGTATTCCACCCCTACTGTGCCTCTGATTGGCTCTGACCCTGACATATTTTATAACAATAACATAACAATAACTAACACTCCTCATACCTAAACCTAACCAACCAAACCAACAAAGGCAACAAACACTAGCCAATCAGAGGCACAGTAAGGCGCATCTTCACATAATAGAAAAATTATCATTAGCATTACGCTAATGTTGAGGGGTGCGTACCTAGACTCACCAGGAGGTATCAGTACGCAATAACAAGTAGGCTACTCAGTATCTGTGAGTACTAGCCCATTTTGGGAAATAGTTTCTATTAAATAAAAATCTATCAAATAATATAAAAGTAATAATAAAGGAGAGGAAAAAAACAATGCCGTAAATTCTTGTATTTCCCCATTGTGGGGTGGATCTCTCTCATGCCTGCTGTGAAGCATGTGAAGCAGACCACAGACACCTATTTTAATAAAAAAAACAAATTTTCTGTCCGTGTGTTGACCCAGACCAATGACATTTTCCAAAGTCCCCCCAGCTGTTATTATAGTAGTGTTTTTTGTAGTATGCAGGCATATGTGTGGCCAAGCTATGTGTGTGTTGACATAATATTGTCGTCAAGATTATTCTGTAGATATTCAAAAGAAGCAATTTATCTTCGACATAAAAAACTTTACATTCTAGACTTTTACCAAGTTTGGACAATTAGACCAAGTCCAAACTTTATTTTTTTTTAATGTTTATTTTTTTTGGAAATGTTTTCCCATGAAAGGAAATGCCTCATTATTCACTGAATAAAATCTCCAATGACAATCTATTCATGTTCCCATATTCATCCTGTTTATCAATCAATAATAAATATGCGTAGATCCATTATACAGTCTGAGGTTTATTATGCAGTAGTCAATATACAAATTTTAAACAAATTGAATGATGATTTTTACATTCAGTCAATGACCAATAATCAATAAAAAAAGAGGATCAAAGTGATATTAAAACCCTCGATTTTGAAACGATGGTTATGAGTTGGAGTATCGAATGAGCTCAGTGGTCCAGGTAGGTAGCGTCGAGGTGATGTAATCACCCGCCATAAATCATACAGCACAGGTCAATGGGACCCTCGACTCCGTTCAAGGCCTAAATTTCCATTTTAATTTTCTGCTCAGTGGAGTTGATGTATGCGGGGACACAGTGAGTAGCCAGGCTCTTCACTCCCGTCTATCCATTATTAAATGACGACCTTTCCTTTCTGGATCTATGAAGACCAGACTCTCACATAAGGGGACAGGTAGGCAGGTACGCCAGACATTTCGCATCCAGTGAAGAGAAATGTCAGACAGCATATAGGATGAGATTTAGAATTCATTTCAGATGCTGCGGCTCCAAGGTTGACTCATTTTGGTTTGGAGATCCCTCATATGCATCTACCTATTCAGTGATTGTGAGCCTTAAGGATTCTACCTCTAAATGATGACTTAAAGGACCATTACCAGTGGCTGTGCGTGTGACCACTTTCAGAACTTCCCTCATTGGTTCTGTCTGGTAATAGGTTGTCTGCAAATGATCATCCCGTTTGTGCAAATTAAGATATTAAAGCTGAAAGAGAGATTCACAACATGTAGTGTTGCCACATAAATGATCCAATATTGTGTTCAGTTGCTAAGTTTGTATATCACTAAATTGTTTTTGTTTTTTGGGAGGAGTACATTTATGTAACTTTGTGGAGTCACGTGCAGGTGGCTGGGGTGGATGGTGGTCATACAAATTGCAGGACTGTCACACCACAGAACCAGACTGCAACGAAAGCACTTTGGTTAAGTTTAGAGAAAAGTTTGTGATTTCAGTTAAATGTTATTAACAAACCTAAGTCACTCCTGACTTATGAATAATGCTGTAGTCACTATGATTGAATGCAAGATTGCCTATTTTGGAAAAAACCCAGTCAGCTACTGGAGAAACCTGGTGATTCAACAAGGAGCTGCTTGCTCTGTAGATAAAAACATCTCATCCTAAGGTAATGAAAACAATTCTATTTTTTTAGGTGATTATACACTGATGAAAACATACCTATAAATACTATATTCCATTTCTGCCAATAAATGCTCCTAAATGTTACACAGTGGACTTTAAGGTATTTTTTTACACACAGCAGTAACCTTTTTTTTTGTTTAGTTCAAAAATAAAATCCAAATTGTCCCTTTAAAACTCAATCAAGACATTATTAAGAATAATAGCAGACATTGTGCATTTGCATTTAAATTTGTATTTTTGACCTTTCCACTCAGTGAGCTAAAGTTCAAGCTAAAGCAGTGACATTAGAATATGAAACAGCCATGACAAAGTCAAACACTATTTACTGCACCATGCCACAGTCTGTTGGGGCCAACATGAGATTGCAAACCAGACACCTGTGTAAGGACATTTGCTGCCTGCCTGTCTGAGTATACATTCTTCTGAAATTATCATATTTAAAACACGATTCCACCTCTGGCTCCTCCCGTATGCCTGATCTGAACATTCATTTGCACATTAATGAGGAAATGGCTCAAGGTTCAGGCAGTGTTAATATAAACATGATAACAAGCATATTGAGACACAAATGTGTGATATAATTAACGCATCACTCATCTTATTAAACAACTTAATTAGCATGTTATGTTTAACAGAATATGTGTCTTTTGTTGTTTTAAATATGGCTGTTTGAGCCCAGAGTCAGTCATTTAAAAAAAATTGTTATGGTGCGTGAGATATTTGTTTAAAGGAGACAATGTTGCATTGTGAAGAAGTGCTGAGACATGTCTGCCATCTTGTGGTTTCTAACATTTAATACAGCAACAGTGTCACTGCATCTGCCTCATTCATTCTTAGAAAGGATGGACCACCTATCTTAATCAGTGGCATTTTGTTTGTGTTGCTCAAAGCATTGAAAAACTCCACAGCAATGTGTCTTAACAGAAACAGTGTAACAGTATTAAAATCCACACACCACACTTTGGACAGTTTCCATATGAACTATTTCTTTAAGGAATCTGGGGTCTTTCTTTGAGCTGTTTACAAAGAAATATTTGGCTTTGGGATATAAATGGATGTTACAGTTTACCTTTGTACTGGTAATCTTAGGGTACGCTTCCAGGGAATGACTCAAATATAAATAAATAGAAAGATTTTGGTCATAAAAATGGCTATTTCTGTATTTTTACATTTATTTATTTCTGTATTAATGATTTATTTCTGTATTTCTACATTTATTTATTTATGCTTTCTGTAATTTTTTGTCCTTTACAGAATATGATATGATATGATAGTCTGGATGTGGAATGAATAATGATTCTTTTGATTTGTAAATCTCAAGATGGCTATCCTGCAAAATTGTCTCTAAAACCTAAATTAAATTAGAATCTGGTTGCTGGAATAATCTCCCGCATCCCATTGGCTGAATACGATTACGTCACAGCGCACTTGTTTGAATGGCGGAAGAGGAGAGGCGTATGGTGGAGTAAAGTAAATAGTAACGTCTGCTGTTTTGCACTATTGGAAAACTCGGTAGCTGATAACGGAAACACCAATTGGTAACTCTCCTAGCTATTAGTAGCATATCTTCCACTTTCTAAGTAACAAATACACCGCTAATATTAAGTGGGAACGCCACCTTGTTAGCTACAGAAGCTAACGCAGCTCTAAAGTTGAATGTGCTTACTTGAGAACATAATGTAATGCATGGACTTATGTCAGTAGACCATTTGTGGAGAAATTGCATATGAAATCTAGCTGGTTCCTGTTATTTCTTTTCATCTGGATAGAGCCTGACGAGCAACTCTTAGTCAAACTGTCGCAGTTAATTATTATTTTAATGGATTAAAAGTATCTCTCGGCCGGCTCCTTGTACGCCGAATTTACCAGAACAACCTCAAGATTCCTAAATGGTTATTCTTTTTCTAGTTATTGGTTAGGTGTTTTTACCAACAGCTCTGCAATTTAAAATTGACGGTTTTTGAAAAGGAGTTCAGCGTCAACGTCAGTCGGATTTGAACTGTCGCTCTGTGAACACTAACGCCGTGCATATTGTTTTATTTCCTGCAGAGCGGGGAAACGATGGAACAGGTAAGTCGTTGTTAAATTAACATTATTTTTCTGCTAACCCCTGGCCAGAGAGGCTGGTGTTTGGAAGGGAGGGGTGGGTCGCCTTTCCTTCATTGTTGTGGTGCTGTGGTGGCAGCTCCTCTCAGCTGTAGGAAGTGCAGAAACCTGATCACTGGTGGGTTTGACAGGAGGCACCTCAGCCAAGAAAAGCACTCAGGTCCTGCAGTGATCAGGGAGATGTGCTCCGTGGAGGACTTTTAAGAATGGACAGCAGGACAGCTCATTTCATACAGTCAAGAAATAAGACATATGTTTACCTGTGGACTTATAAGCAGTTCCAGGTAGAGCTCAGATTTCTTCAGGAGGTGATGTTTGACTGTCATTCCTACGTTTTCCTCACTGATTGTTTCTGTCTGTGTTGCAGCAGGAGCAGGTAGAATGGGACGATGTGAATAAACTTTTGCAGCATCATGGTTTCAAGCCAGTGTATTTTGCGGATCCCGTAGAGAATAAGACCCTTTCGGGTAAGAGTTCAATATTGTTCCAGTTTCTTGGCTGTTCTAGTTAAATTGATATTGTGTTTGAAGGTACTAACTCATGTTGACCATACTTCATTGTGCAGATTAAAATCCTATTCTGTTTTGGCATGAAAACATGTTTAGCTGCATTTTTGCCTCAGTAGTTTATTCTTGTGGCATTGGAGTAGCATTTTAAAATGATTGCAAAGACTTTGAGAAGTTTGCAGATACTTTATTTTTTAGCGATGGACAATATGAGTACTCTCCACGTGCCCTTAGATTTGGTTCTGCTGGACAAGAAGTCAGCTGGTGAGATCAGGATGACTCTGAGGACGATGCTCACAGACTCAGAGAGAAGACAGACTCTCATCCAGGAGCTCATCAAGTCCAACAACCAACTCAAGTAAGTCCGACAATGATTATTTGTGGGGAATGACAGAATAGTAAATGGGTTTGGACTTTAATGTTAAATGTAAATGATGAAGGCATGGAGGAAGCTTACTTTACTCTTTCTCAATACTAGTGTAGAGTTGGGGAGATGAGAAACATTGATAAATATCCAAAAGGAGAGTAATACAAAATTTAACTTAACATTTATTTGGCTTTTTGATGTGTGAATGCAAACTTCAGATGCCTTTTTGTGGCAGAGAGAAGTGACAAAGCAGCAACGAGTGCATAGTAAAAATACAAGAAAGCATCTTAAAACAATCTACCCTTTAGGAAGTACTTCAGGAAAAACTTTCATCCCTCTCAGATAAAAGTGGTTTATTGCTCATCTCCCTGTCCTTCTGTAGTTTGGAATCCATAATATATATATATTTTTATGTTTACAATGGAAGCCGTGCCTTCCGCCACGGTGACAGGCAGGTTTAGAGTTTTGTAATGACTGGAAAGATGCCGGCTCCCCCTTGGCGTAATTCAAATTAAATTAGGATATCCATATATGAGAGTGTACGTTAGCGAGCTAGATGGCTTCTTCAAGTCACACATGAGGATAGTTACGGTTATCCCGATAAAGCAAATTCACCAGGATATACTTCTACCTAGTACTCCTACCCAGTATTGGGATGCCATTCAGGAACCAATTGTGGTTTCATACGTGTTTATTAATGTTTTTTATTTGAAAATTAAAAAATCCCAACTTACTGATAATATACTGTATATTTTATTTCTGTATATTTTGTTGTATCTTTCTTTTTACCACAAATAGCTGGCCAAACATGGATGACTTGACATAATTTTTTTTTTTTTTTTTTAGATATTTTCAGTGCAAACATAATGTTAATCTAGATAAACAACAGTAAACATAAGATCCCAAATCCTAAATGGTGACATCCAGCCGTTGTACAAAAAGATCCATCACAGAGGAGGCAGATTCCTGGACGTAAACAGTGGAAGAACAGCTGAGGGTCTTTTACAGTGAATACATGCCTGCAGTGTGTATTACTGTGTGTGTTAATGCATCCGCATCTATTTAATAATGTATCTGCAGCGTGTGTTGACCACCTGTCCCCCTGTCATTTAATCTGATCAGCATCAGATGAGTATCACAGATACGCCTCCTGTGCAGGTATGAAGTCTCAGCCTGAGGCCGCGTTCCTGCTAGAGTGATGATAGGGAAAGCAACTGACTATAACAGTGGTCATATTTCTCCACAACCCCTCCAGGGAAACAAATCATTTAGTCCAAATAAACATCTTAGTTAGTAAGTTAATTAGTCACCAAGTCTGTGGGAAATGACATGTTATCATTGTATATCAAACATTTCTGTATTTCAGAAATGCCTTAACAATGACATTTAACCTCAAACAATCAGTTCATGGTTTGCATTAAATGCTTGGTCAGTCTTTTTTATCTATTCTGTGGTTGGATATATTCTGATATGAGTACTGTATATGTTGGTAATTTTATGCAAACATTTGAATCACACAGCTCTGTTTGAGGGATTTTTCTCATAAAACGGTTCAATCTTAGATGTATTTTGGTGCATGTGTTTGGTCTGTTATTCACTATATACTGTAAATGGTTATTCAGGGTTTATGTGGGTACTTAAAAAGTCTTAAAATTCAATAATCTGAATTCTTGCCCTTTAAATGTCATTACATTTATAAAAGTGCAGTCACTGCAGCTAGTTACTAACACTAATTGCAATGGTAATAAACCGGTGGCGTCTCTCATCGATAACGAGAATACATAGATCAAGGGCACCATCATATATATATATATATCACACCCTAACAAAATGACAAAAAGAAACCAACATGGAACCACAAATGCAAACTGTGCCGCCAGGCCAGAATTTATCAAAGTATACCTTTCCTCACATAAAAAAAAAGCTACTTGTAGAAGTAATAAGTTAAATGTTTGTTTCTTTCATCTAATATGGGTAAGCGCAAGTTCTGGCTTCAGTTTTGGCTCGAGAACGGAACATTTATTGTTAAGTTGAAGCCTGCTGAAAATAACAAATTTGAAACCTGCTGCACCTTGTGCAAGAAAATGTTTGAATTAGGATTTTATTTTGTATTAGGGACGCATGGGAAGTCAGAAATGTTCAGTTTAATGTAAATAAATTCATTTAGTTAGTAATTCTGGGACTTTGTTTGCCAGTATGGATGTTAAATAGGTATTAAATTGCTTTCATTTAGAGAATCTTTAAAAGTCTTACATTTAACTTACTTGTACTTCCTTGTACTTGGTGAGCAGTCGTGGACCATAGCTGCAGGTGACGAAAGCGCACTTTTGTGAGAATGATCCTCGTCTGTGTGTGTCTGTGTCCTTAGAGAGGAGGCTCATGAGCACGTGAACCGAGCGGCTCAGCAGTCTCAGAGGGCCACGGAGCTGGAGGGGCTGCTGGACGTGGTGAAGACTCGAGTCCAGGACCTGGAGGACCGCTACCTCGGCAAGGCCGTCGAACAGCACGGCCACACACAAAGACTGCAGCAGGAAAAACAAGAAGCACAGGTATGTCAGTAGACTGCCACTGTAAGCCACTGCAGGCTGAGATTTCTCAGATTGCACATTAGTTTACATCCATGATTAATTATAAATAAATAAATTATAAATGTATTTTATTTTTTGGCATTGAAATAGGTTAACAGATAATTAGTTAATTAGTTAATATTATCTATCGTCAGCTGCAGCCTTCTCAGTGAGATACAATCCTTTGCAGAAACTGTGTCAGGCTCTGGAGCAGAGGCTGTCCAAGCAGAGGGAGGAAGCAGCTCAGCTTCAGAGGAAACTTTATTTCACCATCAAAGAAGAAGAGCGACGATTGGCTCGACAGAGTCAGACCTTCCAGCACATCTGCAACAAAGTCAGCCAGCAGAACTCCCCTGCAGACCAGCAGTAAGGACATCCATTGAGAACTATTCTCTGTAATATGAGCACCTTTTGACAAAGATACTGATTATTTTGTTATTATTGAAAAACTTCCATTAGGTTATACTAGCATGGAACATGTGAGGCCCTTTTAAAGATAGAAACTTAAATGTCGAAACTGTTTAGTCATATCTGAAGGTCCACTTAATAGATTTTTCCACAGCTCTCAACTGTATCTTGTGGTCTTCCTCAAACAGAAACTGCTCTGTGATGAATTGATTGCTGCATATTTCCTGGTTTTTCTATCTGCAGGGTTCTGGATGTGATCGACTTCTATGAGACTAAAATGACTCAGCTGCTGGATGAGCTCAGGTAACATGCAGCGCAGAGAATCATGTGTCTTTATTAGAAACAAAAAAACGGTAGTAAATGTGCCCTTGAGCAAATTTTGGGACGTTACTTTATATCAGTTGAAGAAATTGGTGCGTTATCTTTTTATAAGCCATATAGATCAAACAATGAACACTTTTGCCTCTGCTTATACTAAGCTGCTCATTTTAAACCCAGATCTGTCAAAGGAGAGCCAGCAGGAAATCATGTGGTTCATCAGACAAGAATCAAGAAGGCATCCAGCAATGTTACTCCGTCTTTTAAAACTATTCTCAAGGTAACCTGTCAAACGTTTCATTCATGTTCAGATAGTTCTTCCCCTAAAGCAGCAGGTAATACTCCTGTATCTCTTTCAAGGCGTACCAGGAACAGCAAAAGGGAAACAAAAGTCGAATAGAAGAGCTGCAGAGGGACGTGGAGCGCCTGAAGCAAGAGCTGGAGACGAGGTGTGTGTTCATCCAGCTTGGAACAGAAGCATACGCTGTCATTATCAGTATCCATGCTGACTGTGTTATCCTGTGTAGGCCGACACTCAAAGAGGTGAAGTTCTACAAACACAAACTCCGCCGATTGGAAGCGTTGAACGCACACAGTAACACAAGGTAGGAACGCTGACGAGTGTAAAAGACTGCCCAGTGCTCACTGGTGGGATGAGGGCTCTGGCAGAAAATCATCTGTGTGTATCTTGTTTACAGTGTTAGCACTGCACAAACAATGTTTGAGCCTTCCACTGATTTGGTATACACTGTTGGTAT